GAGTCGACACGTTGTCTCTTGCTCTCTGGTACTGCATCAGCCTCAATATCAAGTTGATCTCCAAGGGAATCGTTGGGAAGAGCCACCTCATGATCGGATCCATTTGTCTACAGTCGAGCTTGATCGAGTTCGAGCCGGTGAGGGCGATTGCGCTCACCGCTGAAACCTAGACGGTCTTCAAGGGCAACCGGAGGATTACGTAACGATGCGTATTGTCTGATCGGAGCTTGAGACGGACCATTGGATGAGAAAACCATGGGATACTGAAACGGGTGCTAGCAGGTAGAGTGATAGTTATGAAACGAGCCTGAGTCTCAATTATAGCATGCGTGCGGTCTTCACTTCCCCCTGCAATTAGCATCAGCGAGCGGATATAAGCATTAGTCATCGAGTCTTCTACCTTCATTTCCTCAAGTTCAGTAGCACTTGGGGTGTCGACCTCCATATCGTCGACGTTGTTCCGTTAAGTGGGAAGAGGTTGAGCTTGAGAGTCATCATCGTCCTCCATGAGTGGCACAAAATTATCGCCACCATCACGGATCAGCAAATCAGATGGATGCGATGAAGGGGGGCGTTTTTCAAGCAGAATCGTCTTCGTGGTCACAATATGCTGGTCATCAATGTTCCAGATACGGAAACCTTTCTTCGTGTCGAAGTAGCCGAGGAAGGTGCATCGATGTGCCTTCAAATCCTATCTTAAACGCTTTGATTCGTCAATCTTGATGAATTCAGGAGATCCAAATACCTTGAGATGTTCTAACGATGGTCGCTTGCCTGTCAACACTTCGAGAGGAACTCACGTCAGGGCGAGCTGTGTTCAGAATACGATTGATGATACAAGGGGCAGTTTCTACTGTTTCACCCCACCATTGCCGATCAACGTTCTTGTAATGAAGCATTGAATGATGTCCGGCTCATGCGTCCCGCTAAGCCGTCTTGTTGAGGCGAATATGGTATACCGGTGTGGTGAATGATATCATTTTCTGCAAAGAATTGGTTGAACTTCGCACTGGTGTACCCTCCACCGTTGTCACTGCGAATACTGCGAGTTCTCACGCCGTGCTGGTTCTCAACCAGCTTTTTGAACTCAACAAATTTGTCGAAACCTTGACCTTTGCTCTTGAGTAGGTACACACCGACGTATCGACTAAAGTCATCAATGACGGTCACCACATACTGAAACTCCACCACGAGTATTGGGCTTTAGCGGACGCATGACGTCGCTGTAGACAAATTCGTACAGTGAATTCGATTTCACCTCACCTTCAGTTGGCGAGCAAATGAAGAGGTCACTATTTTGCCTCGAGCGCAGCTGTCACTTCAGTAGCGTCTCAACATTGTGATCGATCGACGGGATTCCGTCAGCAGCTTTAAGTAGCAGCTTCACCTTGGCTTGCGACACGTGCCCAAGACGAGCATGCCAGGTTGTGCCACCACCTTTATCTCTTCACTTGCGTTCACCTGCGACATGAGTGCATGTTGGCCAACGTGCCATACATACAGTTTACCAATACGAGGAATTTGAGCAACTACCTTCTCATCAATCATTAATGATGCACCATGAGTAACAAATTGGATGAGGACCCCGTGCGCAGTCAACGCAAGCACCGTTACTAGCTTGCTCTCCAGGTGCAGGACATAGAGCGCTTCCGTGAGCTTGATACTACGACCACCAGCGAGAATCATCCGAACTTGGCCAACACCTCTTGCTTAGAGTCTTCGCCCGCTGCCAACCATCACACTGATAGGTATATCCAATTGACGATATCCACTAAAATCATCAAGCTCTCCGGACATTTGGCAGCTAGCTCCACAGTCCAGCAACCATGTCGAGTTACCTTCAGTCTCTTTGGAGTTCACCGAGAAGACAAACTCAACACCACTGCCCTACTTCTGCTGGGTGCAGTCTTGTCGCTTGTGGCCATACTTACCACATCCATGACAGTGGCCGTTGAACCGACCACCATCCTACGCGGAGCATGATTCTTCCAGACACCATGACCACCGTTACCGTTGCCATTGCGTCGTCCATGATAGCCATTCCGACTGTTTTCATAGCGACCATCACCATTGCGAGCAGGACGAGAATTACGTTGAGAAAGGCCGGCCTTGAATGCAGCTCCTTTCTTGTCACGACGCATGAGCTTCTCATGTTCTTGACGCAGCATCTCTTTCGCATCCAAAAGCGTGGCGCAACTTGTCGCTTCGATGATTCGGACCATAGCATCAAAATCCTCAGGCAGACTGCCCAATAGCACTACAAGCTTTTCGTTATCGTCGATACATTCACCAGCGGCAGAGAGTTTTAGATACAATTCCTCCAAGCGCATCAGGTGCGCCATCAGGTGATCATCGCGGGGGATCGACCCTTCGTACTTTTATAACGGGAGAAAAGGAAGTCCGAAAGTCGTAAGCATTTGGTAGTTAGAAAAGTATACTGTGGTCCGCTAAGAATTCAAAGTGTATTCTTCGCTTGGCTGAGTTTCCTCCTCTGCGCGCTCTTACACTCCTCCGCTCTTCGCGCCATAAATAGCTCCTGCAACTTGGTCGTTTTGTTTATAATTCACGGCGACGCCAGGGGCGTGAAACATCTCAGCGGGGCCTGTTCGGAAACTGGTAATCACTATCTGTCATTACAGAGAGACTCCCAATATGCTGGCATTATAGCTTTAACAGCTGGTGCATTTAAGTACAAAACGCTGGTGCCGTTTCCCGCGCATCCTCTAGTATAAGTGATCGCTAGCACAACGCACTTTCGGTCGGGATGGAGCACGGTTAGTATTAATGATCAACGTCTTGTAAACACCCTTGTATCACACGTTAAAGATCTTTTGCTTACACAAAAGGTTCACACTTACAAGCGATGTGGATGCCGTATTGTAGTTTAGCAGGAATTGGGATACAATATAATGGTGCATGCTGACAAGCGGAGGCTTCAATACAGATATTTCAATTCCTAACCATCTTTCTTGTTAAAGCATTTCCTTGTGACGCAACAAAAATTACGTTCCACTATTACTCGTATAAAGAGAGAGAGGATTGCCTCATTAATTGAAGATCGCCGCCATTGTGATATACGAAAGTTCATAGTCAGGGTGATCCGAGAACACAGAATCGACGTGTCTAACACCTTTTCTCGAAGTAAACTTCGTAATAACATTTTGCCGTTCTCTGTAAGAAATATCATAACGATAATTCTGCTGCATAATCTTTTACATATCAAAAATGGCTGACGCACCTTAAACCTTACAAAAGCATACTCAATTGAAATATTGCGCGGGCATTTAAAAACATATTCGCAAAAAATGCTCGAATTCATGCGCGTACAAAAGTAGACTACAACGAGCGGGACGAGATTTGGGCAGCTTCGAGATGATTGGCGAATCATTGCACACCGATGCACGCGTTTCAAACTTGAACACTTTCCAGTAAATCTGGATTCTGCTCACGTATCCAAATCATATCGAGGATGATATTAGAAAAAGGCATCATCAGAACATTACAATGCCATAACCGATACCCCAGGAATGTAATGAGTCAATGTGCCGTGCGACGAAGGCGGTAGACTGTTGGGTTGAAGCTTGGATCATCGTTTATCATGTTTAAAAGTCTCTATGGACTTGATAGGTTCATTAACTGAGCCAGCACTTCAAAAATGCCGTTCGAACTGCAGCTAATGTTGATGAATATTGACACATCCATCTGTATTTCCGGACTGCAGTTTGCGGGATCTCAAACAAAAATATACTTGTTATGACTCGCGATCTTTTGGATAATCAGAAACATTGTAGCCTTTTGAATGCACCTGTAGCTGGTGACTTGCTTCTTTAGATCGTCGCAAGAATTCTTTTTTCTAACTCTGTCCCTTTTTCTGCCATTTTTTGTTCTTCTTCTGCAAATTCTCTAGGTAATCTTCGCATCATTATAGGATTGCGGCGCGTACGGCAGTTTGCACGAGAAATGTGCAAACCTGAAGTTCATTGCTATCGCAATCGTGTCGTCCGGAGTCTGTGGATATTCCATTTGATCTTAGCAGATGTCTCCGTCAGCAAGCCGTGTTGAATGTAAGAACGCTGTTCCATGTTTGAAATCGAGAGACCTGCTTGCGCATGCAATTTTGAAACTTCAAGATGTATTTTTCGCTAGAAGTTGTTTGCGTGAGCTTGAGCATTCTTTCGTTCACATTATAATCGAAATTGAGCGACACGTAACCTTTTTTCAGCTTTCCCTAAAAGCCTACCATGTTATGTGAGCTTTAGTATGAAGTGCTAAGAAATTGTTGAATCCAGAAGCAAAAGACTTGTTGACGCGCTGCCGGTTAAGCTGGCGGCGGAGCCGACGAAATGTTTTGAGCTTACCGAGCACCATGTGAGGCGTCCTTGATGCGGAGTGGGCACTTCTAGACGTTCAGAGTATCATTCACCCGACTATGCTGACCAGGACGAAGATACGAGGATTCACACTGTACCTCTCGGGTTCAACGACCAGACATGAGACGATAAACTTCGCGGCGTGAACACAAATTTGCCAAGTCATCATAACCAGGCTGAAGGGAGGTCATCCAGACTAAAATCGAAATCTTTGTTCTTAGGTTATTTTTTCTTTTCGCTCGTTTGTATCGTTTTTACGGAGAGACGAAAAGATTCCAAGTGCCAATTACGGCATCTTCGGCCTAATTGACGAATTGCAACAAAGTCTCGTGTAAGACACTAAGAATCGTGCTGGAAGGAGACCTGGACTCCCGGGGTCACCGGGTCACCTATTCCCATTTCCGAATATACCAAAACAATTTAAAAGCACTGGGGTTGATCAATAGTGAGTGGAGATTGATGCTCACTGTTTCCAATGGCGGGATAAGCACTTAAACGAGACAAGTAAACGACGAAGAGATCTCCCGCTGTGTGTACCAATCCATTCATTAGACGACACTTCGGGTAGAAGCTTAAGAGTGTGAGCTTTCACTTTGTGACCACACCAGCATTTGGAGTCAATCTGACCGTGCCTAAACGAGATTTCCGCTACGCTGCCACGCCAGCACTTTTATGTTAGAATGAGCTGAAGAGAAATCAATAAAGTTATAAATTCCTACCTCTAAACGGCAGTAGAAAGCATCCAAGTTATGTTTTAGTAAACACAATTAGATTAATATTTCAGATAAACAAATTAACTCTTGGCTCATGGAAGCTTGCGTCTAATCTTACCACGCGACTGATTATGCTTTGTCATTTGAGTCGAAGCTTCAAAGTCAGACTTCTGCTGCTTTTTCAGAAATGCACGCGCTTTTGTGACGCTTGTAGCTTTTTCTTCTGCCTATCAAACATGGCAGCGTATATTTTAAACTGAGAATTCACATCAATTGAACGATCTGACAGAGCGAACAAATCAGCTATTATGAGAAGGTAGTGTTTGTATCTTTCAGCGGTGACATTGGCTTCCACTAAATCCTGAAGCATGATGTCAGAAGAAAACATGGCGATCAGCATGTTTCGTACTAGCTTCATCAGTTCCGAGTCTTCATAAAGTGATATCAACAGCTTCACCAGCTCATCAAATTCGACTAGGGATATTAAGAATCGTAACAGTTTCAAGAGGATGAAGTGTGCAAAATTTTTCTTGTCGGCATTGATATAATGAAGTATCCACGTCAGCTCGCCATTCTTTGTGAATAATTTACGATGTAACTCATGTTGTATTCTGTTCGAGTTGTCGTCCGCGAAATTCTGCGTTTTTATCCACTTATCGAATCTCCAAGCATACTTTAGTGCTTTTACGTGGCCAACATTTTGAGGAAAAGCATTGATGATGTAAGTATTGCATCTATCTGTTCATTATCTTTGAAACTGCTTAGACAGCAAATGAACTTGATGTACCGATCTAACCTTTGATCTTTCGCAAAAGTCCAGTACCAGTCGACGTAATTAAGCCAAGCCAAAAAAAGTGGATTTTTGAGAGAACGTTCCGATATCGTATTATCGAAATTGGGAAGCATATTGTCTGGAAGGTACAGGTTTTGTGTCCATTCCTCAAAGACCAAAGTTTTGTAGGTGGAGTCCAATACCATCATTCTCTGTACATCCTCTGCAAAACTTTTGAACTCTTGATCGGCTCGAATTTTATCAAATAGCTTTACCACTTGTCGGTGCGGATCAGGTTGATGATTTAATGTTTGAGGGAGTGACTTCTGAATCGGTGCTGACAATTTGCCCACTAAAAGGTCTAGCATCATTTTGATTCCTGTAGGATTGTCTCCCACATTCATTACATCGCAGTAATCTCGAGCGCTTCTCAACCAGGTTTTCAGCGGCTCATCGATAATTTCTAGATCAGTCTTGTCTGCAAGTATGCCATTATAAAGCTCGTTTCGTAGGGCATCGTAAAACGCTGA